CATACATTTTTAGCTGCGGGGATCACATAGAAGAGTATATCAGAATGTAATGTCATTAAGTGTTATAAGACAGTCTTGCATCACCTGATCAAGAAAACCATCATTGGGGCAAACAAACTCACAAGAAACTATTTGGATTTCAAAAAAATACAGCAGCAGCAACCAGCTACATATGAAGACTAGCAAAACTTAAAACGGATTTGTCACACCTTCTTGTGATAGATGTTCTCTTCTCATCAGATATGCTGTAATGATAGCTGCACTGCAATGGTTTCCTTGGCCGCCTTTTTTTTCTTGTCAAAATTTGCATCCTCATGATCTTGGTCTTTCTCCTCAGGATCATTTCTCTAGGTTCGCTTCAGCTTTTTTTTTCCTTTTCTACTTCTTAGTCATGTCATTGTCATCCTTGATCAATCTCTTCTTTTTAGTAACTGGTAACCGGCATGAAAAAGCAACGTTTTGTTAGTCTTCTATCTTCCCGTGCATCCCAGCACTTATAGTTTGAGGGACAAACAATTTATACCTTCAACAGTGAAGAACTGCTCTGCTTCCAGGAGGTATAAAAAAGTGAATAAGAGGGCACGAAAGAAGATAGAAATGAGCTGATAAGAAGGAAAAAAAAAAGAAAAAACATAATTAACAAAGGTTTGGTTACATAACCTAGTTATTGGCAACAGCAGATTAACGTACAACTCTCCAGAAGGGGAAAAACAGAAATAATTATCTCAGCTCCAGCATACCAGCAAAGATAGATAGAACTGATCAACGCACAAGTATGACTGAAAAATGGCAATTTGGCCATATTGGGCATAATAAACAAATTATCTATATACTAAAACCCGGTGGAAAAGCACTGTTCACGAGCAGTGTTTTGGCGGAACTGCCCTTGAGCTGCTGCCCATTCACAGCTATTTTTTCCGTTTTTGTACAGTGAAGTTACAATTGTACCCTTTGTATACACGTGTTGGTCATCGTGGAAAAGAAACCTGCTTCTATGGGATCTCGACGCGTTGATGTGGTTCTAGAAATTCTGGTGCTTCTGGACTCTTCGTTCCATTTCGAAGCCAAGCTCTCAGACGTCTGCTTCTTTCTAAAAAAACTCTAGCCCTCTGCTTCCCTAACACACCTCCCGCAAACGTCTCTATTGTGTCTTCTGCGATTAACACTTTTGAAACAAGAAATTAAATCGATCTCCAAAAGTTCAACCCCCAAACTGGATCCAGATCCATCACCATCTCGCGGTGCCTTGCTCAGATCGGCTCTGCACTCATCATCGATGACTCTGCCTTCACGGAGGACTCCGCAAATCCCATCGCCGATAAAGGTAAAGCACGGCCACCTCTCCCTTTCTTCGTTTTCATGGCCGAATGTCAAATCAAGCGAATTTGACTCATGCATGTGTGTATTCTGTAAAGATGCTTCTCAATCTGTTGTCTGGACTAAAGAAAATGAGGATGGGGCTCTCGAGAATTTCAAATCCCAAAAAAGAGAAAGGTATAAATTTTGTTTAGTTTCTTTGTATCTATAAGAATAATTTTTATTTTAGGTTACTTCAAAACTGCTGGAGTTTGGATTTCATATGTTTTTTCAGGCGATTTATTTGTTAGATCTTATGGATATTTAGGTATGAATTGGCAGAAGATTGTGCAGACGATGATGAAGCAAAGTAGCTGATTTATAATAAGTGACTTTTTCTTTGTTCTTTATTGTACTATAGATTCGAATTTATCATTATAATTTTTTTTTTTAATTTTTTTGTGCAGTTATATGGTCGGGTTTTTTGCAAAGTGTATGAAAATCATTTGAATGCTGAGAACCTATTATATTCGCGAAGTCCAGGCAATGCTGCTTTACATGATACAAGAGATCGACACCTTCATCCATATGTAAGTTTCTCTAATAAATACTTTGAACAAATGCTTTATGAATTTGAGTTTTTATCTTCTGATTATTTTTTATGCAGATGTGGTATTAATTTTCCTTTGACTAGAAATTTAGAGGTTTCTTAAGGTACAATGTTATCAAACTAAATTTTTCTAATTTTCTGATTTTGGGGTATTGCAGGGAGTGCTAATATACAGATTTTCTGGGATTTTTTGTTTTTGAATAGGTATGTGTTGTTTTTAACGTTTCGGTTCTCACGTGTTTTGTTCTCTTATCTGTTGTTTGCCTACTTTTGTGTTGCTTCTTAATTTTCATTTTTCAATGTTGGGTGATGGAAATTTGTAAAAATAGTTGTAGTTTTCTGAGAAAGTTGTGGATTTTAGTTATATTTTCTGTGTAATCCTAACTGTAAGACTGAAAAATAATTGAAAATTGATGGTTTTTATTTTCACTTTCTCTTAAATGTTTTTTCTTGAATTTAAAAGCATCTTTCCCGATTGGTTACTATGGTTCTGCTCTCTCTAATTAGTTATTTCATATTCTCTCCAACCTTTTTGTCTAATTTTATTTTTCATTTTTTTGGTGGCTTTCTGCAGAAGTTAGCATGAGGTTTTCACATGACATGGATGATGAGTAGAGAAACTCATCTAGAGAATGAACCTACCAAGGTATATGCAAAAATTGTCCTTTGGGTTCATATGAAAGTATGAATTTTCTTTTAGCGTATAACTTTGACGCAATAATTTATCTCATGGATTATAAGATATCTTTTGGATTTTACCTACTTGGCAGACAACGCCTGATGTTCCTTTAAAGGAGCTGAGATCAGCATGTCACAACAGTCTCACAAGCAAATGCCCAAACTGTATACATCACAGTAGGCAAGTTTCAATCTTTTTAGCTTCCAATTAATATTTCGTGCTGATATTTGATTGTATTGTGTTTGGGTGTTTGGTTTCGGGATTTCTCAAGTTGAATTGCAACGTGGGTAATGAGAAAAAAAATGGATTTGGTCTCTGGTTACAAGGTGACTTCACCTCTCACTCTCTCTAAAACTCAATTTTGAAGTTGTTGTCCATATATATATATATTTTTTTTGGATCACCATCACCATGGGTCATCTGAATATCAGCCTTTTATTTTGTCTTATAGTTTTATCATCGTACATCGTTGGTTGATTGTTTTTGTTTTCTGTGTAAGGTACTCTCTGCAATTTATTGCAAAATAATGTCAATTTTTCCTTCTTTGGAAACAACTAGGAGCCAGTCTGGTATCCAAACTTTATGTTCGCTGCATGTAGCACTTGAAAAGATTAAGAATATTCTCTAGCATTGCTCAGAATGTAGTCAACTTTATTTGATAGGTATTCCCTCAATTTGCATTTGTAATTTATGCAGTAGTGCTACTTCCAACTTTTCAAGTAAAAAATTATTTCCCCCCTCTACTGTGGAGGAATAAATTTCTGTTTTGGTGATGAGTTTGTATATAAATTGTACTGTGTCTATAATGGGCAAATTATTTGTTATCATTTAGGCTACAATGGAATCGCAAATTTGTCAAGTATATTTTAGATTCTTGGTTGCATATTCACCTACTCACCACTATTGTTTTCTGTCTATTGATTGGATAGACTTTTATAATTTCCAAACCTACAGTTGCAATGCTTTTGACATGTTAAATTGGAGTTGCATCTCTCCTTTTTTGTTCATGAAATTCATTATCTTACTAGCTTGGGAATTAACTAATACATTTTATCCGCTTGCATGATGTCAATGGGTCTTGAAATTGTTGCTGCAAGCTTTAATTCATCAGTATCTAGATAATTGTACTTATTTGTTGGTCGAATGCTGATGTGAGTAATAATTTTAAATTTTACATCTTGAAGATTAATCATAAGTTGTGTTTAATCTGTGATGTTTATGATGCCTTTAGATTTCCACATTTGTTGGTTTTGTTTATGTAGTTTCATGGGTGATACAATTACAGAGGTATTATAGGAAGTTGCTGAATTTCATGCGCACAATTAAGGTTGGATTCTTTCTCACACACACTCCCATTTTCTTGATTGTTGACCGGTTTGTGAGTATGGTTATTTCTATATCAGTTTGTTGAAATTGGCAAACGCAGCAAGGTTAAGTATGAGCTCAACAAGAAAACTGGCCTTATAGTAGTAAGATTCTTCTTTTTCTTCACTTACAGGTTGCAGTCTAATTTTTGTTGAAATGCAACTTAATTGATGATTATCCTACTAGATGAATTGTAACTGAATTGATTTTAAATTTTGTTTCAGCAACTTAGTTGATATGGAAATTGAACTTTTTTAAATCCTATTATATTCTGTTATATTACACTATTGCGTCTGGACTAGCAATTTTCATACGATGTCACCTATAAAGTTTGTTGCTTTATCATGTCATGTATTTTATGTTGGAGTTTGTATTCAATCACCAAAAGTAGAAATGATTGCTTCTTTGTTCAAGCCTATGTTCGATAAAGATCGGGGGCAGAATTAGTATAGCTTTTCTCACCACTTACATTTACTTTGCCACTTTAATATTTTTGTATCCAATTTCCATTATCTAATTATTTAAAACTCTGTTATATTTGTTTTATGAAGAGAATACAGTTGCGTAATTTTTCATACAATTTTCAATTCCGCAGCAACTCGCGGGCACAATTTCTAGTACAAACTATTTGACGCTTTCTAGCTTATCAGATTATCAAAATAACAACAAAGCCTTTTCCCACTAAGTGGGGACAGTTATATGAATCCTAGAACGCCATTGCGCTTAATTATGTATCACATCTTCCGTTAGATCCAAGATTATCAAAAACTATGTTTCACCAAAAATATACAAGTCACCTACTTACTTGTAGAATAAAATTCTGTTTCAAAATAGAGGAATATGTGATTAACAAGACACGTTGCTGTACATACCAAGAACAAGAAGGATTGTATCTCATCATGAAAAAGAACATAGGTACCTTTTCAATTGTAATGGAACAAAAATGCGAGACCACTTCCAAACCTTCAATCCTCATTGATTCACTGAGTACTGATATTATGTAGTTGCAGAGCAGCAATTATAAAAAAAACCGCATAACCTCTAAGAGCATAGCAGTAATGTCCTGATGCCAATTATTGTTCTCGTAGACAAAACAAATTTTCTTTAGATAAGTTCTCGTTATACAACTCATTGCACGACCAAAAGACATCATTCAAAGTTTTCACATAGTGCAACAGTTTTGCATAATCCAACTTCCATATCTTTGATGTTGCAAAACCATCAACATCAAACATGAAGCTCGGAGTATGACGCAATTGTTTTAGGGTAAATATAATGCACCACAAATGGCTTTTCTTTTTCCGCTTACAGATACAATAGTGAATTGTATTTACCCTCATATTGACTTCTTAGGTCTCCTATATTTTCTAGCAACATCCAAATGAAGTTCCTACCCATTTGACATTAGCCTTCAAAGGCAAGCAGCAAGAACGTTGCAGTAAATAGTCTCAGGTCATATTAAACTTCTCTTGGAACTTCAGTCAATGTCTGCCCACTTTCTAAATGCCTCTACATACTTAAGCCTCTTTCTTTGAGCTTCAGTTTTGGCTTCTGATGCCTTTAAATTCCTGTAAAGATTCTTATGAAGTTTTACAAACTCACTTCTATACAACCATTTGTCAGTGTACATACCACGTTTCTTCATATAGTCAATGACCTCCATCACTCTCTCAAAGTAACCACCACGAATAAAGTTCAACAGCAAGTACTCATAGAGATCTCTGCTTACCACCAAATTGCTACTCTCGATATTCCTCTTAATGTCGCCCCACAAGATTGTCATAGCACGAAACATTCCCAGAGAATAATACCCATATAACAGATAGGTAAACGTTTGCTCAGTGGGTTGAATTTTCATCTCATGCAATCTTCTGTACGTCTTTAAAGCATCATCAATCATTTTGGCCTTGCAGAAAAAGTTGATGGAAGAATTGAACTGATAAACAGTAGACGGAATTTCCTTCTTCTCATCTCTCATTTCCTGAAGCAAAGCATTTGCCAGATCTGATTTAACAGTAGAGCTTGAAGCATTTGTAAACATGGCACTGGAATCCACTATTGATCCGCACTTGGAGACAACCATCTCGTCAGATAAATTTTCAAGCAGGCCAGCATTCCTCATTTGTTTAATCAATGCCTTTGCTTCCAGAAACATCTTTTCTTTGTAGTAGGCTGTCAAGAGTGACATAAAGGGAGTCAAGCCCAAGGGAGACCCAGCTGCATCTAGGTCATCCAAAAGATCATGGGCGGTTTCTAGCCAACCTAAATGAATGCAAGCATCAATCACATCAGAACACAAACCAGATCCTCTTGAGGAACATAACTCCTTTTGCATTTTTAGTAGAATTTTTGAAAGATTGCAAGTATCTCCACCCTTTCTGTATCCATTTACGAGCTTTGCCAGAGCCCTATTACTAAGGACAAGTTTCCCATTCCAATAAATAACAAGCTCATGTTTTCCCTCTACTTTTAGCACAGAATCCTTCTGCAGCAGCTCGGGTAAAATCTGCATCTGCAACCCAGACTTGAGATTGTGAGATCCAATTGGAACATTATAAGACTTATGAGAGTTCTTTCTGTCTCTTTGAACCGGAAGAGACTCATGGTAGTCACACATTTGTAATACAAGCTCAGTGGCTGCCTCAATGTCATTAAACTTGAAATGCAAGGTCAACAAACTATCATAGAACTGCCGATAATGTTGCAGAAGAGCAACTGAAACTTGATCAATATGACTTTTATACTTTTTTATCTCGTCTCGCTGACCATTCAACTCATGGATCTGGGAAATAATGATAACAGAGTGTGCATCAGCAACAACTCCTGTTTGAGGCATCAATTCCAAAATCTGTTGGCCTTTGAAAGATAATTTGAACCTCACGCAAGCATCAAGGACAAGGTTGAAAATCATTGTATCAGGTTGAATCTGCTTTGCATGACCACTCTTGTTTACACTCAAACGTTGGAAACGATGACAAATCTGAATTAAGAAATTAGATGCAAGGTTCGTCCCAACCTCAGTCTTTACCATATGCAGAACAACCAAGCATAACGCATTCAAGGGGGGCAAATTATCTTTCTCCAGTAATATTCTAAGAATCATTGTAGCAGGCTTTGGCATTTGACTCCGAGCTAAAGAGAGGGAGAGCTTTTGCAGGATATCAGACTGCAGTAAGTCTGATTGATCTTTCAAAACTTCCAAGGCTACATCACATGCTTTTAGCAGCCAGTGAGGGTCAGATGAATAGCACAGTTCAGTTATCAGCTTACGGACAATGAAAACCTCAGGAAAGCCATGCAACCTTTTAAAATCAATAAAGGACTCCCATGCTTCATTTACTTGATGTTCCTTCAAGGCTATTTGGAGCCTTTTCAACAGAACTGTAGGAGAAGAACCTTCCCAACATAGCCTTACAGACTGAGCACAAGAACAAAAATATCGGGTAGATGAAATTTGGTGCTGCTCATAGTATACACTTGATAGGACGGGCTTTGGAAATGTCCTATTTGAAGCTGATTCCCTGTCATAAGTTGATATCAAGGCAGTCCTCTGGATAGCTGAAGCCGCACAAAAATCCAATCGAAACCTCTTGATGAAACAGTTTCGCCATAGATATATCATTATAACAAATACAACACAGCTAGAAAATATAATCACTGTGCGATGCCACTGCCAAACTGTGGCCTAGCTGAAAAATCATGCAGCAGAAGCAAGACTCATTTATGTAACGCATAAATGGAAAACAGAATTCAAAACCCTATATTTTGACAGTTGCTAGAAGATTGCTTCATTATCTTCTTCTGCTCCAAATGTCCAACTAGTCAAATCTGCAAAGAGAACCTAACTGAATCAGAAGGCACACACGATCTTCGACATAAGCAAGTAATATCTAACCCAAAACACACGTGCACATACAAACATATAATCTGAAAAGAAAGCCAGCCAAGCAATCATGTTCTGAGAAGAATACCAAAATGGGTATGATATTACAAAAATATACTTCATCCTCAATTGGGAACTTAAGATTGCTTTAAGATTCTGTAAAATAATTGGGAAGTAGGACCACAAGACAAATACGGCATAGGTGGAACCAAAATAGGTAGACCATCTATTAAACCATATCATGTTTAGTTTTCACTCATGTAGGGCAAATACATGAGAAATATGAGGGATGTAGAAGAGTGGAGGAATGATGATGGTAGGAGAGATGTAGAAGAAATGTACAAGGAAAGCTGATGTAGGACAGTAGGAGTAGATGGAAATGCAACAAGATATCCGAACTCACTCCTATGTTTGGCATCACACTAAAGGTGTATTGGAATCACAACAATAGAGCATTTAGAAAAATTCCGGCATCAAACCAGCCTTCAGCCTCACATCGAAGGTGCCTTGGACTCACTCCAAGGTTGCTGTGCCTCATACACAAGCAGAAAATCCAGAATTTCTTTCCACGAACACTTAATTTAAAAGCTTACAAAGTAGTCCGTTTTATAGGCTAATTGGTACATGAATCAACATGGAGAGACTCAAAGACAATAAACTTGCGGACTACATGTGAAACTGCATTTATTACATAAGAAAGTACAAAGACTCCGGTTTATTGAACTTTTCACTTAGCTCCTCCACCAAAAGGTACCCAAAATGAAAACTAAAAACCAACCAAAACTATTTTTAATTGTTTTCACTTTCAAGATCTTTTTTTGTTTTCATCCCTCTTTTTCCCCAAAACATCAATCACTAAAAGTGAAAATCAAAACTAAAAATGAAATGGTTATAAAACATGCATGTTGGTTTCCTTTTCTAGTTTTTGTTTCCGAATATTATCCTTCATTTCTCCCTCCTCGACTTTTACTCCTGAACTCCCACAGGTATTCCCCATATACCTTCCCCAATCTCTTAACAAACAGGGAAAACAAAAACTAAAAAAATCAAATGATTATAAAATGAGCCCCAAGCGAGTGACATGAATTGTAAGTCAAATTGTCAATTCTACTGAACCTTCTCACAAATAGAAGACTGCCTGTGACTGTTGTAACTTGTGTATATTGAACCGAAAATTGGAAAACTAACCATTGGAGGGAGATGAGCCGCTAAGCGGAGAACGGCGGCGATACTTCCGGTTGGCTGTATCAGTTGAAGGCTTGCGAAATGCTGTATTTGCATCACCAATATCTAAGTTTAAATCCATGATGAATACCACCTGACGGCACCAAAATCAGTTAAGTAGAGCAATTTATAGGCACCCCAACCCCTAACCCTAATCCTAACCCTAACCCCAACCCTACCCCTCTCCCGACAAAAATTGAAAAAGGGGCTAGGGTTTTGTTTATTTTTCAAAGTTTTGATTCGATTCAGGAGAATGAAAAGAAAGGGAAGAACGATGGATGAATTGGACTCACCAACGTTTTTGTTGTGCTTGTGCGACACGGCAATCCTGCTCTGTTCTCTGCTCTACGCTCTGCTATCGAAACTATCTGTATTTCGAATTTTGGATCGACGACGACGGTTCCTGTAGACCCGCAGTTTCTGACACGTAACGGTAACACCACACAAAAATCATACGAAAATAACGCGGATCAACACGATAATTTATTGGGTTATTGTCGGATAACCGTTAAGAACTTGTTAATAACGGGTTCTTAACTGGTATACACGGGTAACAAGTGACTAACCCGTTTCGACCCATTAAGAAAAAATTTATTTCGATAATTTTAAATTTTAATTACTAAAAGATTTATTATAAAATACAATAATCATATTAATATAGACAATATATTCTACATTAAATATACAGTTTTGTATTATTATTCTATATAAATTTTAAAAAAAAGTTTTAGCTATTATTTATTTTTATTATGAGAGTTCCTTATTATCATTATTAGGATAAATTTTACTTAACATGTTATTGTCCAAAATTAAAATAAACTAATATAGTATTTGTATAGGCAAGAACTAAGAATACATACACATACAAGTATGAAAAATGTGAAAGAATATATAAACACTCGTGATTCATCATTATTCATCCACAAGTAAATAATGGTTACACTTACATTATCGTTTAAATTTTTAAAATCTTCCAAACTTTCATGAATAATGTTTTTTATTTGAGGGAAAAATTAATAAAATTAATAATTATTATTGTAGAAGTGTAAAAAATGTAAAAAATATATATATATAATCACTCGTAGTAACAAACTTTACAACTTTTATAAAGGGGTCAACTTTGAAATCCAACAATATTTTCACTAACCGTAAAACTCTGAATATAATATCAACGATTCAAACCATTCATCTTCCTGCATCCTCTAATAGATCAAGTTTTCAAAAAGAAAATCTGAAAAAAAAAAATATTTGATGAGAAGAATGAAGCGTAAATGTAAACAACAATCAACGATTAAATTTTGATCCATGATTTATATAATTATAGTGGCGAATTTCAAAATTAAGCTCTTCATGAAAGTTATAAAGTTTGTCATTACGAGCATTTATATATTTTTTTCTACATTTTTTTATACTTCTACGTTAATTAAAAAACTATTAAAGACTTTAGGTAAGTGAAAATATACTTTAAAAAAATGCGTTTTTATGTTTTGGATGTGACAATATGGTATGTATATACTTATTTAGTATTATATTTTTCATTTGATTATTTATTGGTTTAAAATATATTTTCCTTAACGGATCGGATCATATTACCTGTTAATATTATCGGGTCGATTTCGGGTCGGGTAATTTTATCCTTTTATTTTAACGGGTGTTACACGACATGACCCGTTAAGATATCGGGTATGACACGAACACAGAAAACACGACACGAATGTCAGGTCTAGTTCCTTGGTTTTCAGCTTCTCGAATGGGGTTTTATGTCCGGTTTGGGCATTTATCTGTTTGGGCTAACATTTGTTTTCATGCTTTCTTTGGGCTCTCACTTTATTGTCCGATAACGTTTTACAAAACGATTTTTTAAGAACTATACTGTGAAACGAAAACGAAAATGAAAATGACAAATAGGATTTTACAGTTTTATGATGTCAAAATGTGTCTAGTTTTTTAATTAGAGAATAGTTTTTTAGAATGAGAAATGTTAAAAACGCGTTTGGTACCAATATCTTAAAATATTAAGTTATTAAATTAGTAGCAATGGTTGTTAGGATTTCTACGTAGAAATTTTTTTTGAAATGTGGGGCATCCAATTCTCATGTTTAAATATTATGTAAATAGGTGTTACAAGCAATTGAGCCCTCCGCGCGATGCCTCGGGTTTTAAGACCATCTAGGGTGATATTATTTTACATATAATATTTTTACACTAAGATATATGATTTTAAAGTGTTCTAGAGATATGATTTTAAAGTGTTCTTTACAAAGAGATGATACTATTTACAACCAGCTCAAATCACTAACAGTCTGCTTTTTGAGCAAGTTTTGGACGAACCTGAATAGTAGCGGTAAACATGTAGTCATACAAATTAGAAAGCCATCCATCTATAAGCCAATCCTCTTAAATTCACCTGCTTCCACTATTCTTCTAGTGACTGATAAAGAAAGCGAAGCTGCCAGCTTTGCTATAGTTCTTGTAAGTACTCCCGGATCATATGAGCAATAAAGTCTGTTGAAAGGAATCCCAATTTTCTCAACAAAAAAGAAAGGGTTATTATACAAAATGGTCCCTGAGATTTGCATGATCATTAGAAATGGTTCCTAAGATTTCAAATCAATAGAAATAGTCCCTGAGATTGTACACCATCCATGATTTTGGTCCTTTCATTAAAAACTATGTTAAGTGTCCTGGAGCTCTTGGCCAAAAGTTTGGGCATTTCAAAGCTTCGTAACTCAATCGTTTCTTAACCAAATTCGACCCATATATATCAAAATGAAGATAGGAAAGTGTAGAACTGGATTTTACCTATTTGGAAGCCCAATGATTGCCAGAGATGGTCGAAAAATAGCCTGAAATGTGACTAGTCCACGGAAAAATTGGAAAACTCGCCGAAAACTAGATAAATTTTAAACGTTCCCTAACTTCTTCAATACTCAACGAAATCGAGTGATTCAAAAACGAAAATCAAACTTCTCGACGAGACGAAGAGAATGGTATATTTCTTTATACTAACTTGCCGTGGTCTGGCCGGAAAAATGCTCGAAAGTGGCTAACTCAAAAATGGTTAGCCACTTTCAAGCCGTTGTTCGACAAAGGTATCATTCTCTTCTTCTCGTCAAGAAGTATTATTTTCATTTTTGAATCACTCGATTTGGTTAAGTATTGAAGAAGTTATGAACGTTTAAAGTTTACCCAGTTTCTGGCGAGTTTTCTAGTTTTCCCTCGGACCAGTCACCTTTCAGGCTATTTTCCGGCCATCTCTGGCAACCATTGGGCTTCCAAATGATATAATCTTATTCTACACTTTCCTATCTTCATTTTGATATATTATGGGTCGAATTTGGTTAAGAAACAATTGAGTTACGAAGCTTTGAAAATTGCCCAAACTTCCGACCAAAAGCTCCGGAACACTCAACGAAGTTTTTAACAGAATGAACAAAATCATTAATGGTGGACAATCTCAAGGACCATTTCTATTGATCATGCAAATCTCAGGGACCATTTTGTATAATAACCCTAAAAGAAAACCAAAAAGGCATTACTAATGATAGACTTGCATGTTTTAATTTATTGCCATTCTCATAAACCTAATGTTTTCCTAAAGTATTATGCTTCAAATGTTGAAAAGTTAACGTGGTTTTTACACAGTAAGCATACACCTACAATCTACAATTCCTCCCGTAATGCACAATCAATCAAAGTCCTACTCAAGACTAAAATTAAAAATCCTATTATTACAATACCAAAATAAAATATGCAAATATTCAAAATGATCTTGAGCCATACATGAGCACGACGAAACAATGGGCTCATAAATACAATTTGAATTTTAACAATGACAATTACCTCTTTCTATGAACTTGAAGCTGAAAATTAAACAAAATACAATAAATTTTCAATCACACAATTCAAATTCCATACAAATGGCCAAGTTTTCATATGCGCAATTCTCGTCAATATTTATGTTTTCATGTCATGAGAGCATTCTAAGAAAATCTTCAGCTGAACTATATTTCAAAGAAATAAATTGTAAAATTGCAAAAAAATATAAGTGTTATTGATTAATTGGGAGTGGACAGAAAATTGAACAAATCATTCAAATTGGTTTTGGTATATGGTGCGTAGGGTGATAAGTAAGGCGATCCATTCCCAATAATCCATTCTATTGTGTTCCATAAACCCATCCATTACCACCCATCATCATCTATTTTGGTAAATACAAAAGACAAGGTCTTATTACTATGACGGAACCTCACGTAGTTGGACTAAAACTCAAACAATTGAAAAAGAAAAGATTAACAATGTGTTTGGATGAAAGAATTGCTAATTACCATTGTCGTCGCCACCACACCACTATTACTAGCTCATTTGTATATTAATGATGCCATAGACACATTAAATTCCGTATTCAAATTTTATTGTTCTTTTAAATTAACCAAACAAGAAAAATTCACAATTCTAGAAAATAAAATTCTATCATTTTCTCATTCAAACATAGGGTAAGTTTTTATCACTATTTGTATATATATTTTTTATTTTTCATTGCTTGCTATTTACCTCTTGGGCTTAGTTGATATGATTATGTCCATACAGTGTTTTAGAAAACTAGTGTCGAGGTGCACCTAGGCGGCCTTAGAGGTGAGGCGGCTGGGTTTTCACCTCTGTTTTGTGGGGGTTGGCGTAAGGCAGCGTCGGGGTGCACCCAGGCGTTCACTTAGGCAATTTTGTTATTCTAAATCTAGGTTTGTTTACAAAATCCAGGTCATTTCTCCGTTTGTGCCGTTCTAGTTTCAACAATGAAGAAAGAGAGAGTTTCTCCCTCCAAATCCTAGTGGCAAAGTCTAAGTTAACTCTTATTTATTTTTTGTTTTTTTTATTAATTATTGCCCATTCAGATTTTGTCACTTAGCATTTTGATTTTGTCTTTAAATTTCCTATAATAATTGTTTCACTCAGCCTTTATTTTATTTTAAATTCCCTATAATTGCGCCGCTTAGCCCTTATTTCCTTTTGAATTTCCTATAATTGTGAGATTCAGCCTTTATTTCCCTTAAAACTTCCTATAATTGTGGCCTCTCAGCCTTATTTCTCTTGAAGCTCTGTAATTATTTACAATAACATAAATAATTACAACATTTTAAGACTATCCGGCTAAGTTTCCAAGTACAACTAGACTTAGTAATGAAAAGAAGATATTATCTTTGATTTAGTTATACTTATATTTTGTAAATATAAATATACATAATAGATATTAAAACGTTAGGTTCCATGAGGCTTCTCCTTATGCCTCAAGGCTTTCGCCTAGGTGAGACTATCCATGAAGCGCCTTGCCTACGCCTTCGCTTTTTAAAACATTGCTATTGAGTTATGGTAACTTGTGTAGAGTAAAGCCTTGTTTTGTTTATTTTTGCGTACATTGAGTAAGAGTTTTTTATGACAA